TACACCCTCTATGATAAAATGGATCAGATACAGGTTATTCTAAATTGTTAAACCTCTCACAGAACAAGTCTGCTCAAGACCCAACAGAAAATGCAAAAAACTGCAAACGCTCCTGCAGGATCTTGGCCAAAATCTTTAACTCTGTGTTTAGCAAATAAGTTATGGGCCTAAAAAATCATCTAAATGATCACACCTGTGGTGAATTGGTCGGAGATGGCCCCCTACTGGAATCAGTTGTTGACCACAACTGTCAAAATCAGCACAAAGATGTGCGACAGCCTCAAGTATATTTCATAGGGTAAACCATCCAGACTGGGTGACTTGCCTCTGCCAACCTTTTTCAATGCTGCGTAGACTTCACCTTCCATAAACTTTCCCTCGCAGCTAGCTGCTTCAGTCGTCGAAAGTCGAGGAAAGTCACCCAAATAGCTGCGAAACTCATCATCATAAAGACCAGACTCTTTGGTAAAGCGGCTCTCAAAATATCTTCAAAACGCTTCGCACATGTTGTCAGTGGCCCGAAGAGTGTGCCCTTCCGGGGTTTTGACTTCACAAATGTGCCTATCAGACCCTCGATGGATCTCCTCCTTGCGCAATTCTGTACCCATATTCACCGCTTCAGAAGACATCTTGCTTAACCTATGTCTAATTACCTGGCCCATGTAGCGCTCGCTGGTCAAATGCTTCAGGGCCTCCCTAGCTAAGGACATCTCTAGGGGATCTCCCCCAGCCACTGCCCGGGAAAAACTAGCCTTAAGCATCTTCACCTTCTCAGCTCTATCTAGGGCAAGCCTGGATGTCCCGCCTGTCCAGTAAAGACAGATTGAACTTCCAGTAACCAGCCATTCTAGGCCTATGATCTAACACCATCTGGGCACAAAGAAGTTTGTGATCCGAATAGCCTACCCAGTGGAATGTGGGACAATCTAACAAGTCTACGTTGGCTCCTCTAACATTCTATCCAGGTAGCTAACTACCTGGGTAAAAGGCCAATTAAGAGCCCACGTCCACATCTCATCCCCCGCACCCTCAGGGGGATCAACCCAGTATCTGTTGATGAGACCAAAGTCTTTGATCAGATCAACCAGCCTATGATCACCCCTTCTCCCGCTAGCTCCCCACCTCATATCTAACTTGGGGTCCAGGATAGCATTCTAGTCCCCCATTAAAACTAGGTGCATTGAATCTGTCAGGAATGGCCCCAACTGCCGAAAAAACGAGACCCATTTCTCCTGGTTGTTGGGCACATAAACCGCAACAACTCTGAACAAACCACTTTTCATGGCAATATTGGCTATGATCAACTGGCACTCAGCATTGGTATGCACAAGGTCCACCTTTGCATCAAGATTCCACCTCACCAGCAAAGAAACTCCTCTGGCATGCCAGTCCCCATATGTTGAATAAACGACAAAGTCGCTAGACAGCTAAACATGCATCGACGCTGCAAACAAATTGGGTCTCTTGAAATGGCGACATCCATCTAAAGACAAGAGATCCTGGAATAGGCGGGCAGCCTTTCTCTGATCCCTCAATTTTATTCAGATTCAGACTGGTCTATTTTGATTAGACATGGATTTTAAGTCCTGCAAAAAAAAAAATAAAAATTAACCTATTCACATACCAGGTGGAAATCTGCGTTAGTGAGGACACCGACGGATTGTCCTAGGCTCCCTGTACCTAGTTCTGACGTCATTCGTCCTTCCAGGACAATTCAGCCGATGTACATGGGGTATCTTAGTTTAAAATACCTACATAGGGAGGGATGGAGTAAGACAGGGACCCTCCCATCACAAAATTGTCTTAGTTTCTTTAAATATTGATCATCTAATTCAAACATTCTAATGTTTAAAAATGCTTCTCTTGCCTCAAAAAGATACACTTTGAAGTAGCCAAAAAAAAACAGGTGACTAAAAAGGAGCATCGGGAAAATTTTGAGGATCTTCAATAGATTTCCCAACTATCGTACTCATTTTCAACAAAAGACCTAGTAAGGACTTTTTTGATTTGAAAGTTCCTTTTCTTCTTTTTCTTTTCCCTGGGATGGTGGGGTGGGGAAGAAGTAGAGGAGTGAAGAGGAGTAGATATTGAACTGGCAAGGGAGGTGGAGGGAGAGTGGGATGGAGCTTGAGTAGGTGAGGGGGAAGGCTTTGAGCTTTTGGCATATGTTCAGCAGTTTGTTTGGGCGAGCCCAGTATGGATAGGGACCTGGCTTTTGATACATTCCTTTCCGCCCTAATTCGCCCAGCATGTTTTTTGGTAGGATTTTCTCTATCTTCCGCGTCTTCTCTAGTTCTCTTCAAAGAAGAAGAGTGAGAGGAGGCACTTCTTCTACCTCCATCTCTTCTTCCGGCTATTGCTTCTTTTTTGGTTGCTGTTTTTCCGATTGCTTTTTTTGTCCCTTTTTTGTTGTTCTTTGTGTTGTCTTGCTGATTTTGGTGATTTCTGTTGTTGTTGCTGCTTTGCCTCCTGGCACCGCTCCTGCTGTGCTGGTTGAACTTGTTTTGTAATTTGCTGTTGCGGAGAGGGTGGGTTTGTCACCTTTCCCCGCTTCTTCATCTCAGTCCAGCCACCCAAACTTTTTTTTTTGCTGCTGTTGATGCTGCTGGAGATGTACTTGTAGTTGGTTCCTCTACCTTCTTCCCCTTCTTGCACCACATGACCAACAACAAGGCTTTCTACCTTCTACCACAACAAGCATTCTCTTGTTCTGGTATGTTAGTGCATTAGGGATGTCCTGAAAACTCTGCTGGGTAAGGAAAACTTGGAGAATGATGTCTCCTGTTGTTATGCCTGTTTTGCATCTGACAGCACTCACCTCGTCCACCTGTCTAAATTTTGTAAAGAATCCACCTATCCGATCCTCGCAGATGTCCACCGGTACGCCGTGCACCATTATTTTGGTTTTTCTTGTTCCCATATACTCCATCTGGAGTCGCAATGAAAACGTTGACAGGATACTACTAGCAAGCTGCTTGGCTTCTTGCTCTGAGCTAATAAGATCCTGCATCGCATTGTTTCTCCTCGCTAGAAATTTTGGCATAATTTTGAGGCTTTTAATGCCTCCTCCATAGTTTCTCTGCTGATCCCAATGAGTTTATGACTCTTCACATCTGTGGTCAGCAGATATATCACTTTGACATTGACTGCTTCCAAAGCCTCGGGAATAGTGAGGAATTCATTCCCTTGCAGGTATTTTTTGAATACTTTTCGCTGTTCCTCGTAGTAATTCAAATCTTTTTTCTTTGGCCTGCTGTCTGACCAGGCCAACTTTTTTGGTGGTTCCGTTTTTTTGGTTTGTGCCAGTGGCACCTCAAAATTTTTGCTCATGCTGGCTGATAGTCACCACAGCTTAAACAAATAAGACTTTGCCTGTTATTTGAATATTTTTTTTAACCAGGCATGAAAAGGTAAACCAAAATTGTGGATAACAAAAAAATAAAACCAATAAGCATGTAAGAACTAAAACGAAGAAATGCAAAAAGGTAAATAAACACAGAGGGAGGGTAAAAACACAAAAAGGAAATAAACAAAAAAGAATGAAAAACAAATTATACAAATAAATATGCACAAAATAATCAAAAGAAAACTGAAAAATTCAAAAGTGTAGAGAAAAATAAAAATGAAAAACCCTAAGAGTCTAAAAGTTCAAACGCAGTCCACAAAAGCAATAAGCTCTAACTAGACGGCATATTCCTCCCACTCACAATAGTTTCCAACGTATTGATGAGGATTGGGACATACCAATTAGTGTTCATAGGTACAGTATATAACGGGATAGAAGTAGAAGGTAATGGTTAACCCTAGCCTTGAACAGGTTAAGATTGTAGTGATCAGGGAAACAGCCTCTTGGGAGTTGATTCCACAGAGTTGTAGTTTGTGGGAATAAGCTGTTAGAGAAGTTTATTTCTCATTGATGGAATATGTAGGGAATGTAGGTAGTTTGCTACTATATAAGTGGTATGGTGTGTCCTTGTGAAGATTTGAATTGGTAGTACCAGGCAATGTGGTTTGTCTGAGCACTTTCTGAGGAAGTAACGATAGAGCAATGAGAGGATTGCCACATTCCACCTGGAGAATAATTTTTCACCCACAAGAACTCTCTTCTTTGGCAATCATTGTGAAGACCTGCCATATTTCTGAATTCCTTAGCAGGGCACCACTTGGTGGCACCTAGTTGCTGATAAAGGGAACGTTTTCAATTTTAGTCTTTTCAGATTGCTCTAACTGTTTTTGATATTTTGGGGTTAAATGTGGAAGATTCATGAAAGAAAAAAACTTTCCTGTGGGGAGTAAGGGTGGGGAGACATTAACAATGACCAAAATGCATGAATCTCCTACCAAATGCAGAAGACTTTGTGGTGTTGATTGTGCCATGTCACTGATTAGTTATTTTATTACAGTATCTGGCAGAGTTCAGGGAGAATTGGATTCATGTCTTGCCCAAAGCATCAGTACAAAGTCAACATCACCAATCTCAGACACAATTGGTTAATTGATTTTATTTTCTATGCTAGAGATTATTATTTCATGAAATGACCTGACCCCCCCCCCTCCACATGCTTGCATGAAACACTTGTTTGAGTATTAACCAATGAGGTCAGTAAAAAAAAAATTGTCGGTCAACAATAAGTTCAATTGTAAATTTGTATTCAAAAGGCAAAGCAGTCATAAACAGTCCAGCAGGAAAATTAGTACAGAAAATGGGATCAAAAATCCAACCTTCCACTCACAACAGAGGAAACACAATTTTGCACACCAAGCTCAAAAATCGTTCTGTCCTCATTAATCAAAAGCAACAACCTTTATTCACAGAGTGATCTTTCTGGTTGACCATGCCAGTTAGGGAGGAAAGAACATCAGCTTAGATTTTCTGAGTAGCAGGTTTTTGCTAACAATTTTCTTTATTTTTCCTTTGCACAAAACACAAACTCTTTTTCAAGGTAGGTGATTTTCTCTTTCGTTACAACACTAAAGAAATATATTATTTGTTTTGTTAGTGCAATGATGTCACAACATGCAGCCCAGAGCAGTGTTGAAGAAAGAATCAGGAGAAACAAGTACAACATCCAAAGAACAAAGATGCAGTTAAACAGAAATTTTAATGAAAAATAGTATTTGTATATTTGCAATAAACATTTCAACTTTTGAAATATTCTTGCTTTTATTTCTTTTACTCAACAAACGACAGTGAAAATCTTTTGAATCTGCTATTGTTGTTAACAAATTACTTTATTGTTTTTGTTTTGTTTACTAAACCTCTTGAATGATTAAATCTTAAATATTCATGCTTTAGACTGATACAGAATTTATTTGTCTTATTTGTTTCTCAAAGTGTCATTATTTTTTGAAAACTAAACCAAATGTGGATAAATATAGTAAGTCATGTGAAAGTAACTTGTAATGTATTTTTTTGTTTTTTTTTCTTAACAAATATGTATTAAATTAAAGAAAAATTTTGGCAATGTTTAAAGTTTGTGCCCACAAAAAACTGTATCAAAAAGGCAGTTATTCCCTTGACATTGCTATTACTATAGATAATTTTGACTTCCTCAGATGATTAAAATATGTGAACCAAGCATGATTTTTATTATTTACCGTTTTATAAAGAAATCTTTTTCTTCAGAAATTTATAAAATATTACAAAATTATCAAAATATGTAAACCAACTACAATGCAATATTTATTATTTACCAATTTATAAATAACTATGAAAACGTTTTTTATTCAATCTAATAACTAGTGTTTAATAGCTTTGTTGTCAATTCTCAAGAATAAAAATTTATAAATCCATTTTCATGTTTGGGTTTTATTAAAATTTTAATCATCACTTTTTCAAAACCATTAAACATTGCCAAAGTAACCAAAAGCATATATAATAATAGCAGTTTCAAAAGAATAACTGTCCTTTTGACACACAGTTTACACACAATGTTGTAAGGACCTCACTGTAATCAGTCTAACCATAATTTTGATTTAAAAATGTTACTTTTATTAAAAGAGAAAGCAATTTACTAAGATGAAAGTGTATAGAAAGTGCTTTAATTGCTAAAGCATCCGCAGTAAATTTGCATCCATGTTCTTACATTTCACCTGTTTGGCAGATTTTTTATTATCATAATGTAGGATATTTAATAACAAAAGTAATAAAAACATAAACAAAAAGAAACTAAATGAAATTTTGACTAGAAAAAAATTAAGATTAACATTTCAATGATCCCTTTCCTTCATGCACATATGTATTTGCATCAATATAAACCTTACTTTAGTCTGAGGAAATTCTAATGGATGAAATGTGTTGCACAATTTTTTTTTCCATTTCTGTCTATTTGTTCTAAAAGAACATGAAACCATTGTTGCCATTTTAGTAAAAAGACTAAGTTACAAAAACAACAAAATTAGTGATGACATTTCACGTGGGACCACTATTTCAGAGAACTGCTATGATACCACTGAATGAACAAAGCTATACACTATGGACCTGTGTAAATGGGAGTGAATTGTAAAAATGATAAGCTTTATTAACGTTGTAATTTTTTCTTCATCTTTTATTTTCATAGTATAACAAACAAAAATAAAATATTAAAGAAACTGAATTTTTTTTTTAATGAAAGTAAAAATTTAAGTAAATTAAAATATTTTACATAAATTTTTTTAAGTAAATTAATTTTTTTTACTGAAATATTTTTTAAATAAATTAAAAAAAATCACTTAAGGGTCTTCACTTTTTCTTCACATTTGTCTTTATAAAAAATCAAAATTATATCATTAAAATTATTATTATTAAAATATTATCATTATACTAGAATTATGAATGATAAAACGATTTTCAAAAAGGTAAAGAGTTATTCCCCTTAGCGTTTCACCGTCATTGAGTGGTCTCCCTTAAATTCATATTTATTTATTTATTTTTGGGTAGATGGAATTCGTCAGCCTGGAGAGGCAATTCGCCTAACAGAAGAAAAATCAAATATAAATGCATTGTATTCATTTGGATCTTGTCAGTACAGTCGAGACAGAGCCATGTGGTCTGAGCAGCGCATCTCCAGTCTCATCACCAAAGTACTGAATTCTGATCAAACAAGGTCTTCCGAGATAAACGGATACCTGCTATATGAGAACCAACGGCTTTCTGTCATTAGAGTAGTCTCCTTTGAACTTATTTATTATTATTATTATCATCATCATTTTCATTTCAGCCCACAAAATGCGATGATGCCACTAAAACACAAAGGGAAAGTGAAAGAAAATTAGAAGACTTTAGTGAGGAGAAAGGACAATAAAAGAACAGGTTTCAGAAAGACAGAAGATACTAACTGACGTTGCATTTAAATTTTTGAAGATTGTAGGTGGCAGGTAAATAAGAAACCGGAAGATAGTTCCACAAGGAGAGAGTGAGATGAGAAAAGAAACTCTTAGAATAGAACTTACGGCTGCATTTAGCTAATTCAACAGTAAAACTATGAGACCTAGTTGCCAATCGAGTAGTACGTTTAAATTCATGCGATCAGAGTATTAAGAGGGAGAGTTTGCTAAATACTTTTATTTAAACTTTTTAAAAATTGATTATAATAGTTATCGGACTTCGATATTAATGTGTTTGATAAATTTATATGACAATGAGTTGCTTGTTTAAATAATTCGTTAGTAGGAAATATAACATTAAATTTATCTTGCGTTACAAAAGAAAATAATTTAAGATTTAGAAAAGAATTCTGTCACTTTTCGTCATACTAAATAAAAATGTTCGACTTGGTTGTTTCAGCATACAAAAGAGTCAAACTTAAGTTGTTATAGACATAAACGACAAAATTTGCAATCCAGTATTTGAATTTCTGCTAATTCAAAACTGATATGCGTCCATTAAGCCTAACTTGTAAATAACTGGAAAAAAACTTTATTTCTCACCGTACCCCTTGTATCCTTCCACTGCACCAAGAGGAGGTGGTACCTCCCATTTTGTGGATCAGAGCTCTAGATAAAATCAATAAACAAGTGCGGCTGTTCAAATGTAGTCCTATAATCTACTATATTAGATTTGATATTCTGTAATGTTAGCAAAGACAAGAGTCCGAGATTAAATTTTGGCTACGTAAAATAATTATTTATTTACTTTTGGACTCTGTCAAATTAATATCGGCCGGCTCGAGGGTATGTGGCTTGGGGTTTTCTTCGAACGTTCAATGTACTTGCGAGTGTGTAAGAGATTCTCCTTCTCCATTCGTGAGTTGGGCATTTATATAACTTCCTGTTATTCGGTTATTTTGTCTGTGTATATTCTAAATTCAGCTGGGTTAATTTCCTTGTTTATGATGGGGCTCCTACCGATATTTCCTTCGAGCTCCAATTCTGTAATTGGTGTCTTTGAGGTTACCTCCTAGGTCAGGCCTTGTCGCTCCGAGGTCTTTTGACATTTTGAGATATTCATTGGGTAATATGGTAAATTTATTTAGTAATTGGGTAAACCCAGCACATATTAGGTTACCACAGATCAAGTCTTTTTAGATCAAGATTCCTGATAGACATAGAATTCGATTCTGACTTCTGGTATTTCTTAGTGTGGATAACATACTACAATTTTCTGGTTAAGCGTAAAAAATTTAAAATTTATGTATATCTTGAAAAGAGCGAAGGTTTTGATAATATCAAATTCTCTTTTATATTTGCCAACAAAGATGTCAGAATTAGGCTCTTCTATTTTCCGTGCGTTAAATATTTTGTAATTCATTGCATAAACAACAAAAAAAAAAAAAAAATATCAAAATTTCTCTTACTTATAGCCGTTTGTTCCAAGATGTATTTAATTTAAGCTCACCGTGAAAAGAATAAGAAAAAAAAGGAAAAAATGATTCTCAAAGATATGGGTTTTTAAAAGAAAAATTAAAATTTGTCTCGGTGGACAGTATGTATAATTGCACAAAAAATAAATAAATAGAAAATATGTATGGTAACTACAGAAAATTTAAGGCCGACGTACCTAAAATTCATAAAGCATTAGATTACGGAGAATATTTACCTAAATTTTTAAGATTACTGGATAGTTAAAGTCATATAAAAAAAGCGCTCGCGTTATATTCATCAAGTACATTTATAGATATATCCCCCGTAAAAACAGATAAGCTTCGGTTTGTCAGTCAAGCTGTCAACACCTTAAATAAACACCTACCTCCGTGTTAAAAATGCATTTCTGTGATATTTTAAACTGAAAGTAAATAATATTTGTTTAAAATCAGATTAATTAAACTTTAAATCAGCTAATATTTCTCAAATAAAGTTTCAGAAAAATACATTTCTGAAAGATTTCTTTAATAAAGAGAATTACATGATGCTGACAGATGGTTAAAATCAATGATTTTTAGTGATTATTACCCCCCCCCAGTTCCTTCTAATCAGTTTAAATTCGTTTTGAAATACAGCAAAGAAATTTTGATCATTGGAAAGATTAAATTTATAATCTATTAGATTGAAATTAAAAGTAAAATAAAAGCTTCAAGAAAGATTTTTATTTTTAAAAATTCATTTTAAACGTGGCGTTTCTTTATATATAGGTCTCTCTCTCTCTCTCATATATATATACAGGGTGCGATGGGTAAATTGTCATTTTATATTTTTAATTTCGCGTATGCGCATTGTTTGTTTTTGATTTTGTCGACTGCACAGTAGATCAGTTGGGCATTGTCTATGAGAAAATGATCACCATGACGCAATTCACTCCGTCAGAAATTCAGAAACGACATGCTGCTTGGCATTCGCACCGGAAGCTCCAGTACATTTTAGAGTATTTGGGTGTCAATCTGAGGACAGTGCAGAGGATTCGGAAAGAGTTGGATGAGGCTAATGGTGATTACGAAGGTACGGCAGCTCAGAAAATTCACTCTGATACGTTCTAATAAGAAAAGAACTCCCGAATTTATTGGTAAGGGCCTCCGACTCATCACTGAGGCCTACATCAATTGCCTTGAGGTGGGAGTGCTGCTGTAAAGAGTATGGCTGCTGTAAGAACCTATGTCTAGAAACAGGACTCTGCATCATACCACACAAGCAGGAAAACCCAGTCATGGCTGTCAGACAATTTCTGCAACCACATCACTCCCCAGAATGCAACCCTATTGATTATTATGTGTGGGGCGTAGTTGGGTGAGAGACTGACAAAACTCCTTGTAACATCACAGATGAATTGAAGGCAAGGATTATGGCAGTATTCACTAACAAGGAGACTGTCCAGAAGAGTTGCAGGAGATTCAGAAATCATCTGGAGGCCGTGGTTGAAGCCAATGGCGATTTTATTGAATAGATTTACTCTTTACTATTTCAAGATATTTTTGTCTAATTTTGGTAAATATATCTGCTAAAATGAAATGTCAATGTTATTTTCATTTTTGATTAATTTAGACGACAATTTATCCATCGTACCCTGTATATAAAACATACAAACACTTTCTGGTTTCTGGTCGTCGGATCTGATAAGCTAACTTAATTAATTGCCCCTCTTATCCTAAAAAATCCGCACGCACTTTCTTTACACACAATTCTGTCTATCAGTCCGACCTGAAGAAGCCGAACCCAAAACACATCATGTTGGCGAAACGCCCCGTTTAAAAGCTTTTCCACTTTGTCGCATCATTTACACCCACAAATAAACACACACACACACACACACACACGCGCGTGTACGTGTGTTTGTGTATGGAGGTTTGAAATAGGATTGGTAAAAAAACAAAATCTGCTTTTCTGTTGATTTATTTTAGCCTTGAAGAACAGAACAATCTTCTGCAGAACTCGAAGTTGGGAGATAAGTCTTTGAATATTAAATTCCAATTTGGCACCTTGAGGCGGTGTAATGGTTAGCAAGCTCGTCTTACCAGAACAATTACGACAGCGTAGTGACTTCGTTCCTCACTGGGTGCCCCATACTTTCAGCCTTGTGCCACATCTAAGCTGTTCTTAGAAAATCCTTAAGGACACTTCGACACTTTCTACATATACCGTGTTCCTTCAGAAGTGGGCAATCATGACTCTCCACAATTTCATATCCTTTGTAACTATTAGCAATAATTGCTTTTTATTATTCTTCCCAATCCCTGCTGTCATCCATTTACACAAGCCTTTTTTCCGAGAGAAAATTGTCCAGCATTCATTGCCACATCGTATGCGAACTGATATTATATAGCAGTTCAGCACTGGTTTCTTTGGCTCTAACGAAATTTTCATGCGTCATAATACTTTGTTCATGTATCTTTTGTTATTCCAATGTGCCTTCGGATTCCGTCGTCTATTAAAACACTTCCCAGATATTTAAATTGTTGTACTTGCTTAACTCCCTTTGTTAGAACACTTCTTATATAGTTAAATTCAGTGGTGGAATTCTACTGGTTCGCTCGAACTGATTTTTAAAATTATAAAAGCTTAGTGAACCGGTCGTTGGATTACCCGAAAATAATCTTACAATCTTATAATTAATAGTCAATATATAATAGCTAAAAATATAATTAATACCATTGCTGTAAGTTCTGTGGAGGCTGAAAGTAGTTTTCTACGAGGAACATAATTTATTCTGACAAAAGAAATCTTCTTCTTGAAGTTAAAAATGTGGTAGGTTTTCTTGTCATAAATTTGATAGATCTTCTATTGGATTTTTGGGACTGCGGCGATTCAGTTCGAATGTGGCTAAGAAACTATAACACAGCTGATGACAACTAGAGTCAAAAAGCATCATATTTCTGAACAGAAATTTCAATCTGAAATATCTTAATAAATAAATGTTTTTTATTAAATTATCAAAATGGTTTAATTCTATTTGATACTATAAAGTGATTTGTTTCCATTCTTAGAGGGAAAAGAAAATACGCAGAATAGGTTCTTAAATATTACCTGCATTTACAGAACAGGTTGCTGTTTTTTTTTCACTTTACACTGGCTCTTTAACTTTTTCTCTTTTGTTTCCTTTTTCCCCTTTTCTTTCGATAGTTGCCATTTGTTTCGAATTACACACACACACACACACACACACACACACACATATATATATATATATTACTAATTATATTAATGCTTTTGTGTGTGTGCATGTGTGAGAGAGAGAAAGAAAGAAAGGTGGACAGTAACGTTGAATCTTAATGAAGAAAGGTTTGAATGCGCTCGTTCAATCACAATGTTTTTATAACATTTTTTATGTACAAGAGAGCGTATGTTTTGAAATAACAATTTTCAAACATCATAAATCCATTTTTAAATGCTGCAGTAAGATATATATTATTTTATATAGTAAACTTACCTCTTTAAAATATCAATCTTAGTTTCTAGTGGAATAATTTCAATAACATTGGTCCGTTTTGTGGCTACAGCCTGTGGGTCATCCAGCCTAGGTAAAAATCTAAATATCGAATACTAATTTTCAAACCTTATTAATTTTGGGGCGACATATTCTTTCACCTTATTTAGCATATAACAATCATTTTTGAGTCTTATATTTGCATTTAGTTAAATATTTATCCTAAAAATGCTTTAAGATATTATTAAATCGATTCCACTTTAATTAAAATTATAACCGTAAAGATTGATAAGTTCACTGAATAAATTTAACAGAACTCAAATAAATTAAGTGAATCAGCGAAATTCTAAGAGTCTCAAAATTGGTTTATAATGAGAATTCTTTTGAAAAGACTTTACTGTGTGAATGCACGGGTTCTTGTCGTTCTTACAATATTGCGCTTAGAAAAAAGTTTTCTTTTTTAATTCTTTTCAGCGTTTTGGATTTAAATAGTCCTTTGTATTATTAAGTAGCGAATCCAGTCTTTGTTTTTTGACCAATTTAATGAACAAAGAAAATTTATCTTGTAAACAATTCTTTGCTTTTTTGGTCAGAATTTTGGCAAAGCTTATTCTCAAATAATTGGGTATACTACGATGACGTCATCTCCAGACGCTTTCAGTGCGCATCACATCCCCCACACCGCCTTGGAATGCGCACACACTTGTATAAAATAGGCAAGAACGTGTGTAAATCTTTTGCTTCAAATTCATCGTCGCCTCTTCCTTTTCTTGCGTCTCTCCAGTACACTTTGCAAATGTTGAAGACAACTCTAGTTCTGTGCCTTCTTTTCATGATGATCGATGCTTCGTTTGTCGTCAGGAGTAAGTTTGTGTTTTCTTTTAAGTTCTTAAAAAAATGCTATATTCTATAACGTAAAATCATATAACGAAAGAAAAGATACAGATTTTTTCTTCGTAAATTTCACCGAAATCGTGACTTGTAAAAATGGTATGAATCCTAGTATTGAAAACTTAATTTTTATTAGTAGCATTAAAATATCTTTCTCTTAATTATAAAATAGAATTGAATTCATTTCAAGCAAAAATAAATAAATAAATAAATAATAAATAGTTAAATAAAATAACTTCATATTCAAAAAGAAAAGTTACCTCTAAAATGATCAAGATGCAGGCGACTTATTGCTAACATTCAAAGATCTTTTTTTTTATTTGTCTGTCTTTATCCAAATGTTTCCGCTGTATACATATAGAAAACTAAAAATATTTCAACTTTTTTAAAGCTATAAACTAGTAGAAATGCCCTATATAAAGAAAAAAGACGCTAAACATTGTATTCACTTGCAGAAGGCTGGAGAATTATACATCAATTGAATCGCTTTCATAAAAAAAGGGATCTGTCTTCTAGAACCATTGGGATCTCTATTTGATAAAAGCGGAGTTAAAATTGAATAGCTAGAAAACTTTAATTGATAAACACTTGATGTTTATGACAAAAGTATCATTTGGAATTTTGTGTGTAGTATCTTTCCAGGTGAATTTTCCATTCGTCTTTTAGCGATAGATAAGCTTTTTGATGCTGTGCGTGTGTGAAGTGGGTACATTAGCAACAAACCGAGCTACTAAAATATCTGAATTTTTAAGAAACTAGATATTTAAAATTTTACTCTGCATTAACGAAGTTAAAAACTTAAGGAGTGTTCTCTTGCAGATTATTGTCCACTTATAATTAACTGAATTTTTCATAAATCGCTAAAACAAGTTTTACCAATTTCAAATAAATGCCCTCTCGATATTTTGATAACTGCAATTAGATTAAGCAAGAAAATTGTAAGGCAATTTTACGTCTCTAGAAAAAAGCTGATAAACTAGAAAAAATATAGCTGAAGTAAATATTGAATATATATTTTACTATTAACATTTTCTAACATGTTTAACATTTTAAGATGAAGGCTCATATTGAAGTTAGTAAAGTGACTAAAAGTCCAAATATTTTTGTTCTAGACTATCTTGTTTTACTCAGGCATGTAAGAGATCTGTTTAGTGTATTAATATTTTTAATTCTTAGTGTGTTATTTTGACCCAAATCCGAGTTATATATGAAGAAATTCTACTGTTCATAATTTCATCGTCTTTTCCGGCTATAACTACTAGATTCCATATCGCCATTTGCATTAATCATATGATATAGTGTTTAGTTTTGTCGCTTATTTAGCGTTTTTTTTTTAATCTTTGACTGTTGCGGAGTATTCTTGAAATGTTCTATTTTAAATTTCATAAAATATACAGTTTAATTTATTACTGAAAAATAGCATTTTAATGCGTAACGAATGATAACTAAATTTTAAGATTGTGACAGGCTTTCTGATTTGATGAGTTTTACATTTAAAACCGGATTGTTTCACGTAAATAAAACTCGTGGCACATAATTTAATTCTGTTTGCTATTTAAGATCAATTTGCTGGTGCACTGTCTTGGAAACGGTACCACGTAATTTGTAAGACGGTCGTGATTTTTAATTCTCGCTTGCCTGCAAGAAAGCTTTAGAATTACTGTTCTGAAAAGGAAGTTGGCAGCTTACCAACAATCAGGAGTAGTTTCAGTATTTATTACGTCTTTCTGGCGACAATAAAATTCGCCTGGGCTACACAATAATACTCCTAATTCAGGTAATGAAGGAAGTTTCTTTAAAATTAACCAACCATCACATAAACAAATCAGTTGTAGTTTAAAAGGTATTAAAACCTGATTGCAAAATAACCAAAATATATAGATATGGTGAGGCCCGACCGATAAAAGCTTGGGATAATTGTTAAAAAATTGCCAGAATCCCTCTCATTTTTGGTGGGAATGTAGGGGACCGTTGGGTGATGCGTATGTATTGTAGAAGAACACATGTGAGTAGAATTTCCTGCTAGCCGGTCCAACTACATGAGAAAGTTGGACTTTAAGACCAAAGAAAACAAAGAAAAGAAACAAGACCGATGAATATATGTAAACAAATATATGTATTAATAACAAGTTACAGGTTACATGGACAGAATGCGTGTGGTGAATATTATGTGTGTGTGTTGTGGTGAGTGTTCGTACGTACGTGTATTGTTCTTAGCGTGTTCCCAGAATTGGGGAAACGCTGTATCTGTGAGAGCTCACATCGAGGTGGTATAAGGCCGAATGCCTGAGGAAAAAAAAGATCGAGGCGAAGGGTCAGCCAGTATTTATAGCCAGGGGAAAGAGACCTCTGGTGAAGGGTTAAGGAGCTGATGAGGAACTAACTCCGACAATACCTCCCCTCAGATCAAAAGTTGTAGAAAACAAACTTTTAATATGTAAGAAAAAGGTTCATGAATGTTTTGAATATTGTCCTTGTGAACTGAAAAGAAAATGTGTCAGAAGTGTGGTTGATATGCATGATTCGACGAAATGTGCTTGTGTTGTCGTCAGGGTGCTCGGTGCTGTGTATTTCTCTATTCGGTCAGAGTCGGGGCACATCCTGAAAAAAACGTCGGTAGTGGTAAGCGTTTGCTATCAAAATTTGAATTTTTTTTCCAATGCTCCACGTTGAATTGGCTTTGTCGTCCTGTCAACCTGTTTGCTGGCCTGGTCGTAGTTTTGTTTGAAAAACGAGTTTGTTTCTTTGGTATGTTTGGATAAAATTGGCGCACAAGATTTAATAGAAGCAGCGTTGTGGCAAATTTGAGCTGATATAGAATTTCAACCGAGTGTCGAATGCATGCTTAAGAAAATTTGCTATTATTGTCGATTGAATATCGCACTTACAAATTCTTAGTTGCGTTGTTGCAAAGATAAAGGACAGTGAGTCGCCTTTTGTGGTCGAAGAAAAAGGACAGTGAGTCGCCTTTTGTGGTCGAAGAAAAAGGACAGTGAGTCGCCTTTTGTGGTCGAAGAAAAAGGACAGTGAGTCGCCTTTTGTGGTCGAAGAAAAAGGACAGTGAGTCGCCTTTTGTGGTCGAAGAAAAAGGACAGTGAGTCGCCTTTAGTTTGGGATGTGGTTCACACTTTATTTCAGTCCAGAAGAAGGGAGTTGAATTTAGTTAAAAATGGCGTTGCGTTTTCCGTTTGGTAAGCCAGGTGAAATTAGGTCGAACATCGCTGAGAGAAAGAAAGGGTCAAGCAAATATAGACCAGTGGGGAAAGAGAGTTCTAAGGCTCGTCTCATAGTAGTAATTGTGGTTCGTCTAATTGTGGCGATTAAGGCTTCCGTGATTTCCTCGTGTTGAAAATTATTTTTGCTGCGCAGGAGAAAATTGTTTTGTAGACATGTTGTAGTGAATTAAAATTGTGATTTTGTACTTTCATCAGTTTGATCACAAATTTTTGTTGCTGTATAAAAGTTCTTTCGTTAAGTGTACTGTATGGCGTGCGTATTAAGATACGAAAAGAAGTTTTTTTCAATGTTTTTCCTATCTGGCTCTCTTTTGGGAAAGTGTGTGTAAATGTGAGTTTGTACATATATATCGTCCTGTGTGTTTTAACAGGAGTTGGAAGATAAATCGCGTCGGAAAGTCACCATTATATAGTGGACCGTGGCGGTGATGAGTATGTAAAACACACGTGAGATAAAATTTCCTGCTAGCCGGTCCAACTACATGAGAATATTGGACTTTAATTAAGTCCAAAGAAAACAAACAAGACCGATAAATATTTGTAAACAAATATATGTATTAATAACAAGTTATAGGTTACAAGCTCATGGACAGTTACATGGACAGACTGCGTGTGGTGAATATTATGTGAGTGTGTTGTGGTGAGTGTTCGTACGTACGTGTATTGTTCTTAGCGTGTTCCCAGAATTTGGGAAACGCTGTATCTGTGAGAGCTCACTCTGCGAGGTGGTATAAGGCCGAATGCCCGAGGAAAAAAAAGATCGAGGCGAAGGGTCAGCCAGTATTTATAGCCAGGGGAGAGAGACCCTGGTGAAGGGTTAAGGAGCTGAGGCGGAGCTAACTCCGACAGGAAGGTGCTGCGGATTGTGAGGCTCTAAGCTTGTTTAGCTTACGCCTAAATACCGAAACACTAGTCTGCAAAATCAGAAAATTGCCATTGCACCGGACATTTTAAACAAGGCAATAGGGTTGCCAACTCTTAAAATAAGAATGCTACACGAGGGAGGGAGCTGGGGTTTCTCAACCAGGGAAAAGCGGACTCTGTTGATAGGATTCTAAACAGGGGGCCACACTCAGACTGAATTGAAAGAGTTTGGCATTTTTAAGCGATAGGAATTCATGTAATACTTTAAAAATAGTATACGGTCAGTGCAAGATAACTGTTAATTTGGAATTTGAGTGAAACAGGACGGTATTTTAAAAAAACTATATAAGACTTTTTTTTAGTAGTGTAACTATAATGTATATTCACGTTGTTATTGAGTCATTCAAGAGAAACAACTTTACATTCTTTGGAATAAAACATCAAACGAAATAGGCACAGCAATTCAGAAATTGATTTTTTTAAATCAATTTGCGCATTTAAAAAAAAATATTCCCGAAATGCGGGGAAATCTGCAACCGTACTTGACACCAAAAAAGCTACGAAAAGAACAAAGGTTTGTATTTTATAAATTAAAACTATTTATAAAACCTGAATCATAAATGCACGTATGATAAAACAGGATATTTACTATTTATGTCCTTTTGCTTTCCATTATTGCTTTTTATAAAAGAAATAATCGCGAATACTTAATGTTTTTAAAATGCATTTTTAAAGAAAAAAATTTCTGAGGCTCTAATTCTAATTCCAGGCCAAGTTTGAAAAAAAAAATCTAATAAGCCTTGCTATAGTTGCTATAGTTAAAATTTTACGATAATTATTTACACTATTTACATTGTTCAGACTGTTGTCTTCATCTTTGTTATATTCACGACGTTTCGGTCATTGTACGCTCCGGCCTTCTTCAGGTGATTTGAATTTTGAACCGAATCCTTTTTTCGCCAACCGGCATAAATTGTTCTAGTTCAATGTGCCTTTCGGATATCTGTTTCAGTTATTTCCCTTTAACTCAACTCTAAGTTTTTGTTCACCTCTGCTGTAGCAAGGTATTCAACTCATAACTCTTTGGGTGAAGTCACTGGACTTACTTCAACCAACACTTATCCACTGGGCCGGTAGACGAAATAAATTCCAATCGCCTGAAGAAGACCGGAGCGTACAACGACCGACACGTCGTTGAATATAAAACAAAGACGAGGACGACAGTCCGAACAGTGTAAATAGTTACAATACCTAATCTCAGACATATTTACGATAATTATATATATATATATATATATATATATATATATATATAATATTATTATTTGTGTGTATATGTGTATTATAATTATTTTTAAAAAATGATTCCATCGCTACACAGGAATTACCATGTTTCAAAAACAGAAGCTAAAAACTTTCAATTCAATTATAGAAATTAAAGTACCTCTTCTGTTTCATTTTCAAGACTTGTGTATCGAGCACTGTTTTTAAAAAAATAAAAACAGAAATACTAAAGAACTTCGGATTATCAATCTAACAGTTCTTTCCTATTTTATCAATATATTTGAACACACACACACAAGTGTGTGTGTATATATATATATATATATATATATATATATATATATATATATATATAATATCACACTCTCTCTCATACACAAGTTTCATAAAATGTGGCAATCAGGCATAAACTTCCATGTGCATGAAACTTTGAGTAGCATCATTCGTGGTAAGTAAATGTTCTTAGCATCATTGTTCTGTAATCTTACTTGAGCACAGTGTTTGTACTCTCAGCACTCACTATATATATATATATATATATATATATATATATATATATATATATATATATATATATATATATGTGTGTGTGTGTGTGTGTGTGTGTGTGTGTGTGTGTGTGTGTGTGTGTGTGTGTCAGGGTATTATCGGAGATAGACCGTTTAGATTAACAATATCAACAACTGTTTTTTCATTTCTATCTCTTTTTCCTTTTTTCCCTTCTTCCCAGGTGTGCAGTATATTAATCAGTTTCTGAAAGTATAGAAACGGCACTCTATCTGCGAACATCTTTGTTTTCGGTGATTTTAATGCGCACCACGACACGTGGCTTAAACATTATGAAAGTACTGATGTTGCCGGCATTCAGACATTATTTTTTTCCATTGCTCAATCCTCTACTCAAATCGCAGATCTCCCCACTCGTTTTCCTAGAAAAAAACGAGCAGAAAAATTCTCGGCTTGATTTATTTCTAAGTTCTCTTGGCGAACTTTGCAACACTGCCCTCTGTAGAGTCTATATATATTTCGTTCCAATCATCTATTAAACAGGAACCTCCCTATTCATAAGACCTCTTTCCGTTACCAGCATGCTAATTGGGACTCCGTGATTTTCTTTGTGACACCACTTGAACAGACGTCTTTAAACTTCAGATAGAGAACTGCGCCACTGAGGTTTCTTCTGTGGCATTACGCCTAACAACTTTGGTTTTCGTGATTACTGGCGTCTGTAATAGTGCATTAAATAAATGTAAGTTCTCTATTCTTCCCCTCTTCAATCAATTTAACGTGTTAACATCTGCTGATAAAGCTGAATATCTCGCCTGTAAATTCTTAACCTCTACTCTTTACTCATCTAGAGTATGTAACTTCCTACTTAGAACTGAGTCTCTTTTGGGAGATATACAACACCTTCTATGGTTTCTGCTATCATCTGTAATCTGGATTCCCACAGGGTATGTGGACCTGATGATATGCCTGTAATAGTTCTTAAGAACCCAAACTGGCCCCTGTTCTCTCTAAACTGTATAATGCTTCTCTGCCTCTTGCTTTCCTGCTTGTTGGAAATCATCGTCTGTTCTTCCAGACTTTAAGAACTCTGGTGAACTGTCTGACTCTTTCAATTATCCGCCTATTAGCCTTCTACCAATTTTGAGGCAACTCTTAGAGGCCCTAATCAATATTGAATTGGTTAAGCATCTCTCATTGCAGTTTTTTTTTTTCAGAGAAGCAATATAACTTTCGTTTCTTCAGATCAACTGCTGATATACTGATGATAATTGCAGAAACAGTCGATCATACTTTAGTTGGTGAAGCCTGGCCTGTAGCTTTGGACATTTTGAAAGCTTTCAACAGGGGTTGGCATACAGGTCCGATATATTTATTTCTGATTATACAGAAATTTTGGCACATGGTAACTAGTTTAGATACTTTCGTACTAATGCGGGTGTCACCCAGGGCTTCCATCTTTGGTCCTAATTTGTTTTTAATTTTCATTGATGACCTTCCTGACGGCATCAGCTCTCAACTTAGTATTTACACTGATGACACCATCCATTTACTCCTGTCTCGACAAGTCTAACCGGTTCGATAAGGTCAAAATGGCAGCCGATGTCCAAACAACCTTCAGTCTATTTTTAACTGGGGCAAAAGATAACTTAATTTTAACGCATCCAAAACTAAAATGCTCTCCATTAATTATCTGAGAGACCCTTCTTTGCCTTTTATCAGTTAATTTCGCACTGCCATAAGGCTGCCTTCTTGAGTCTTTTCTATACTGTCACTGTAATTGTTCGGATGAGCTCTTCGCTATGCTAGCTAGACTTTGAATTTAAGTGTATTACTAGACTGGCGTAGAGATTTCATTAATATTCAGTCGAGTTGGCTAGATGTAACCGTAAATCCTATGTTTTCTTTTTCGCACTTCTCGCTTGTGAAACCCTGTTCCAGCTCCATGCTTTCCAACCAACTTTAATCTTCAAAAATTTAAATGCAATCTCAATCGCTATCTACTGATTACTCTTTTCTCATTCCTTAGTAATGTTTCTGTTTTTTAACTCTTTCATATCTAGTAACCCCTTGTGTCTTAGTGGCTTTACTGTCTTGCATAGGGTGAACTAGAATAAAATAAATTAAGATCGCTTATGGTCTGAAACTGACTGTATGCAGTACGGTTTCCTGCGTGCGCACATAAGTATCGATTTAAAAAAGATGGTCGGAACATTTTTGTCACTAAAATTCACACCAAATCCTCCCAGAGCAAGGATCTCCCATTGCACTCCGGTTGGGTTGAATTTTGCAATCACCCCAAATGTGTACGACTCGGGTGCGCTTTTTCTAAGTGCGGGTGTCAGATTTTTCTTTTTTTTTCTTTTTTTTTTAAAATTGAAAAAAAAAATCCTTGTAGGTACCTCGAATATGATCTGCACTTAGGAAATGTTAATGACTCCCTGATTTTTCATTCTGACGGTTGTAATTGTTACAATTTTTTTTTATAATTTCAAGAGTGCCAAAAATTTAATTTTTGTAAAAACTTTGATTCAAAATTTGTTTCTTGGCATTAATTAATATTTGCCATAAGTAACTTTACATTATTCGGGGTGGATTAACAGAAAAGATCCAAATGGTCAAATTTTTTTTTGGGGGGGGGTGTTGGGCCAAGACCTTTTCAACAACTTCTCCACCTCACACATCGTTCTTGACTGTTATGTCAAACTTTATTGTATTAGTTATCCTCCTTGCAATGGCGACTCCAGGTAGTAATGTCTTTGTCAACAGCGGACTTTAATGTATACGTAATTGGGTAAACCAGTATTTTACACTAGGAAAGATCAACCTAATTTTGACGATAAAGAAATTTCATTTTGTTTATAAATGTTTATATAGTTCTGTCTGCACCATTTTTTTTTCAGTTAACTTTTATGCAAATTAAATTAATATCTAATAAAAAAGGGAGGTAGTCTTAATACAACCTCCCAAAACCCGTTCAGTTTTCAACATGGCTTTTTAATTCACAGGATTTTGTGGCCAGAAATATTACGACCCGGCGCTCGAGATTTGCTGTAGTGGTCATGTGGCCCAAAAGGTCGGCGATTCTTCTTCCTGTTGTGGTTACACCGGTTACAATCCTCGCTACGAAGTTTGCTGTGCGGGACGCGTTTCCCAAAAAGTTGGCGCTTCACCTTCATGTTGTGGCTCTCAAGTTTTTGACACCCAAGTGCAGAAATGTGTGGGTGGAAGGATAGTCTGAGAATGTAGTCTTTGCAGTCTGTGAATATTGGACACTTTGTTCAATAAACGATATTTGCACCACCATGTTCTTAAAGTTTGTTTTTTTTTAATTTTTTATTTTATTTTATTTGTTTTTTTTTAAGAAATAGGTTATTTAGCCGGTCTCGGTAAAATAGATCCCAGACTATTTTGCTGGTAAATATTTTTATTATCAAGGCAGGTAATATTAAAAATAAGATTTAACATCAATTGTTAAGACTTGCTAAAAAATTTTCCACTATCAATTGTTGAAACAAAGATAAATGTTTTTGAATATTTTAAGCACTTTAGGCACAAGTCTGTGCATATCCAAAATTTTCCCTTGGGCATGGTGCACTCACTGAAGACAAGTCACAGACTATGTAGCATTATCACGGAACTATTTTCCTACGCATTGTAGTGAACAAAACAAGATCTAGATTTAAAATTCAAATGCTAAGCATTGACACATTGATTATGTTAGAAATTAAAGACTCGAATTTACAAACTTTGTTTAGCACACAGCTTGATGCGAAATGTTTTTCGACCAATAGAAAACTAGAAAACATTTAAAAACAAAATTCAAATCTTCAATTCTCAGAAACAAATTCTTTTACGGACCCTTTCGCGAGCCGACGCGAAGTTGGTTCATCGTCCAATGGAAAGGCCCGAATCATATCCGGGAGTGAATTCCCAAATGACCTTTTCAATCCCCACAAATAAAATAAGACGGGCAGGTTCGCCTGTTACCAGAGAGGAGGTGATGAGGGTATTAACACGTCCCTTGACGAACATCAAATGATCGTTATTTCTTCCTCGCCTCTTTTTATACTTGATTATAAACAAACGGAACATTTTAAAACTGAGAGATTACTTCAAAGACATTCCTACCCTACGATAACGCTGATACATACATACATACACACATACGTTCCTGCCTACCTACACATAAACTCATTTTTGCAAGTACTACTACGAACATTTTGACGACCTTGTATCAACCAAAATACATTCATTTTATTTGTAGAGACCTTAATTGATTTATATGTATATAAATTTGTTGTTTCACTTCACAGTTTGATTTTCTTGTTTTAGAACCCTCTTATCTAACTAACAAGGCCAAATCAAACTAATCTGTTTCAGCGTTCATCCACTTCACTATTACTGATAACCCACTCCAGTGTAACACCATGGCGTCGGGATACTATAAAAACACTCCGACTTACATGCTCAACAGCATTAGGCCTAACTAACACATAAATTCACTGTCTTGTTATTGTATATACCTTATTGTTAATAAAGGCTTAAGTTATTAGCGTCTCACTTGTAATTAGCATGATAATAAAACATCTTCAACTTTACATGGTGGCAGTGGAAAAAAAGACACTTTCTCAAAGAAAAACAAAAGAAAATCAAAAGAAAAACGAACGACAACAATAATAGACATCTGAACTAAATCTGATGCTGGTTTATTACTAAGTGGCCTTGTGCCAGACACCACACTAAACTACCGAGTCTACAAGCAAAGTAAAAAAAAAAAAAAAAAAAATGCGTGAATGAACAACGAAGAAATGTGGTTAATCCACACGTGCATAAAAATAAAATATATTAAGATAGCCGGCACAGAATGACAGAAAAAGACTGGATTCAAACAAGAGTAATTTTTTATTAAATGAAGGAAAACAAGTAACTTATCCCGTGGTAGGGATCAATGAAAATGTTCCGCGCCAAAAAAAATAGAAAACAAGATGGCTAAAGGCGGGAAAAGTTCTTGAAGAAGAAGAAGGTTCCAGATAAGTCAATCTACAGAATAATATACATACAAGGAAAAAAATACTCACTGCGAGTTTTTTTGCTAATGTGAGTGAAATGTTATATATTTTTTTTTTTTTTCAGGTTTTTTGTGTACTGGTTCAAAGATTTTTTTTTTTTTTATGACGAGGTTTAGGGACTCAGAGTTCGGTCAGGTCTTGAATTAACTGTGGAGAATTTTAACGGAATGCTGTGGACGTCTAGCCAAAAAGGACGAAGATCTAGTTGCGGTCAGTCGCATCGTCTAGAAGAATTTTAATTATGGCGAGTCCAGAAGGGCGAAGAATTAATTATTTGGTGTTTGCATCGTCTCGAAGAAGGATTTTTGTGCGACGAGCCAAAAGGGACGAAGAATTAATATTTGTGTTCGCATCGTAAGATATCCTTCGTCTGTCAACCTTAAATATTGACATGGATAAAATGAGTCTGCTTAGGTCCGAGTCTGGATCACAACTAACTTTTTTGAAACAACAGTTTGTCCGTGACGTCACAGAAATTTCGCGGGAAGATTTCAAAAATCTAATTTGCATAAAGAAGGAATAGCAGGTCGTTTGACTGACGACAAAACCAGTTTACTACTGTATTAGACTGAAAGAGGCAGAAAGGGGTGTCAAACGCGCGCGCGCACACGCGAGTGTGGAGGAAAGGGAGGAAACTCGCGCGCGCGTAAAATGTTGTAGATGGAATAATACATTATTCCACACAGCCCTCTCCCTGGATTAAATGTCGCAGACATTTAACTAATAATAATAGAATGTTTCAAATTTCTTTGGAAAGGTGACTTTTCGACCAGAGCTGGTATACTTAGGCTTGTCGAGAGAAACAGGTGTCTTGAAATTCTCCTGAACTTGCGGAGTTGATTGGGAAGTAGTATGGGACGACGGTTTCTCTATAAAAGCAGGCTTCAACCGATCTATTGAAACGTTGTCGGTGTGAATACCTTTTTGTATTTGGAAATATTTGTCCGCGCGTTTAAGAACGCGGTATGGGCCTGTGTAGGCCGGCGTAAGAGGCCGCTTGACAGAGTCGTTACGAACAAATACAAACTCGCAGTCCTGGAGCTGGTGCGGTAAATATATATCACTCGGGCAGTGCCGCGGTGGTGTATAACATAGGTTTGCCATTTTAAGGCGTAAGTCTTGAATAAAAGAGTAAGAAACTGGGGGTGTGGTCACAGCTGGTGAAAAATATTGGCCGGGTAAAGATAACGAAGTACCAAATACAAGCTCTGCCGGGGAGCATTTCAAATCATCCTTAAGAATATTTCTTAACGATAGAAGGATGAGGGGTAATTCATCGACCCAATTATTATTCTCATGCTTCGTTGATAGCGAAGCCTTAAGGGTGCGATGGAATCGTTCCACCAGACCATTAGCACAGGGGTGATACGCTGTAGTACGTATATGCTTTGCACCAAGGAGTTCAGTGAATTCCCTGAAAAGACACGACTGGAACTGTGCTCCTCTATCCGTAGTAACCACTTTAGGAGTCCCAAAAATCGAAATCCAATCGCATAAAATAGCTTTTGCGACAGTCACAGCAGTGGTATCTTTGACAGGGATGGCAGTAGGCCATCGGGAAAAACGATCCACTATAGTTAAAAGGTAGGAATAACCATGGCAGGTTGGTAGGGGCCCAACTAAGTCCAGGTGTATATTAGTAAAACGAGCATCAGGCTCACTGAAAGTGCCCACAGGAGATTTTTGTGTCTATGCACCTTACACTTCTGACATTGTAAACATGTATTGACCCATTCGCGAATGTGAACGTTCATATTCGGCCAAACGAAACGGTCCGAAATTAATTTAACTGTGGCTCTTTTGCAGGGGGTGTGAGAGTCCGTGTAGGTGGTCAAAACCTGTCTACGAAGAGACGGAGGAACATAAGGTCTTGGGGATTTGGATTTAACATCACAGTATAGGACTTTGTTACTAAAGGGAGCTGGACATTTCTGAAGTTCCAAAGAAGTGTCGGATAACACATGCTTCAGAGTTATGTCCGCTTCCTGTTCGTCGGCGATCAAATCTTGACTGAGTGCATCAGTATGCACGACGAACATCTCAGTACGAGATAGGGTATCGGCGACAGTGTTATCCGAACCCTTAATGTACCTAATATCAGTAGTAAATTGGGATATATAGTCCAGGTATCTGATTTCCCTCGAAGTGTATTTGTCCGAATTGGTGGACATAATAGACGTTAAAGGTTTGTGGTCCGTAAAGATAACGAAGGACCTACCTTCGAGGAGGTGTCTGAAATGCTTAACAGCACGAAAAATGGCCAACAGTTCACGAGAAAAGGTACTGTAGCGTGACTGGGCAGGAGAAAGTTTAGCGGAAAAGAACGCTATGGGTTTACGCTGAGAAGGACGGACTTGTTCAATGACTGCGCCTATTGCTGTTTCGCTAGCGTCAGTAGTCAGGTAGATATCCGACTGAGGGTCGTCCTCTAAGAAACTGAGCTTAGAAAAATTGCCTAGAGCGGTTTTAGCTGCTCGAAAGGCGTCCAAGGCTTCATTCTCAAGTATAATAGTTTTATTCTTCTTCTGTAATAAGTTGGTAAGGGGAGTCAGAATGTTAGAACAGTTTGGAATGAATCTCCGATAGAAGTTGATCATCCCTATAAAGCGTCTCAACTGTTTAATGGAAACAGGGACGGGAAACTCAGTGATAGCTTTAATCTTTTCAGTTATAGGGGCAATTCCATTTGCATCGACATGATGTCCTAAAAATTCTATATGGTCTGATCCGAAAACACATTTGTCCAGGTTTAGACGGAATCCGTAATGAGACAAACGTTGAAGAACTTCGTGTAGGTGTTGCTTATGCGAGGCAGCGTCCTCACTAGCTATCAGAATGTCGTCAATGTAATCGAAAACGAAGGGGAGTCCACGCAGAACTTCGTCCATAAGACGCTGAAAGGTCTGTGCTGCGTTGCAAAAGGAAAGGCATTTTTAAAAAATTCAAATAAACCAAAAGGTGTAGTAACAGCAGTTTTTGGGACATCAGCAGCAGCTACTGGCACCTGATAATATGCTTTTGCGAGATCTATTTTAGTAAAAATCTTTGCGCCTTGTAAACCAGAAGCGAAATCGTGGAGATGGGGAATTGGATAACGATCCCGGACGGTAATGGAATTCAACCTTCTATAATCCACACAAATTCTATAGTCTTCCTTTCCTGGTTTAGGTACCAAATGAAGAGGGGAAGCGTAGGGGCTGTCGGACGGACGAATAACACCCTCTCGTAGCATGTCGTCGAAAGCTTTCTTTGCGAATTTTAATTTGTTAGGTGCTAAACGACGAGGACGGGAAAAAACAGGTTGACCAGTGGTCTTAATAAAGTGCTGTGTTTGATGTTTAGTTGAATCAATAGATCCAGCAGGACGCAGGAGGTCCTGGTACTGATTCAATAAGTCTAACTACTCTTTATTGTGGCAAGTTGCCACGGTGATGCCAGTGGTGGTAAGTTTAGAGTAAGTGCCAAGAACACACAGTCTTGTTAAGTTGTCTGTTAGGGAATGGTTGTTCATTCGAACGGCGAGATCATAGTGCGCCAGGAAATCGGCACCTAATATCGGCATCTGGACGTCAGCAACAGTAAAATTCCAGGTAAAGTCTCGTCGCATTCCTATGTTTAGGGTAAGGGACTTCGTACCGTAAGTATTAATACTGGAACCATTTGCTGCTTGTAGGCGGAGCTGAAAAGGTTGTTGACGTGCTTTATCACGCACGGGTAATACACTAATGGCAGCGCCGGTGTCAACCAAAAAACGTAAATTATTACGTGTATCCGTCACGTAGAAAAGGCGACTAAGCTTCGGTGAAAATGCCTTGCCAGCGAGATTAGTCGCTTTCACTCGCTGGCGGTTTTGTTTTCCGCGACCGCAGTATAGGTACACGGCTTGGTGCAGTAATGTGCTGCAGACCCAAATCGGCGGTGGTAATAACACATAGTAGAAGTGGCATCCTTGTTTCGACTGGACGAGCGTGGTCGACTCCTGAAGCGCCGGCGGGAAGGGAACCGGCTTCGACCATGGCTTTTTAGAGCTAATGTTAAATCTCTAACTTGGCGCTGTAAATCTTCCACTGTTTTTTCTAAGGACCTGTGGTCACTAGTCGCTTCAGCACTGTGTACTGGCGTTGTTTGATGATCCAGTTGCGAGAAAATACGATCAGCGGCGTCCGCTAACTGGTCGATCGGGGTGTTCTCGGACATAGGCGCCAAAATTTGGGTAATGGTGGTGGGGAGACGATCCAGCCACAAGCTTTTCAAAATAGAGTCAGCCATGGTATTTTTGCCGAGTCGGCTTTTCATATAACGAAGAAGTTGTGAGGGAGTCCTGCCATCGCAAGTTAAGTTGCTAAATAATTCACGGATTAATGATTCCTCCGTACGGCCCATTCTTCTTAAGATAGCTTCTTTTAATCGGGCGTAGGGTTCTACCTCCGGAACGGCTTCTAGGAAGTCTGATACTTCGTCGACAATGGCGGGTGGCAAAACCGCCACCACGTGGCCAAACTTTGTTTTTTGGTCTGTAATTCTTCTGACAGTAAAAATAGCTTCCATTTGCAGGAACCAGTTCTTTATATTCCCTTCATGAAAGGGGGGAAAAGGAGCGACGGCGGCGGTCATGTTCGCCAACTCTTCAGAGTCACTAGACGTCATTCTGGCTATCGAATTTATGCACGTTTATATTTCAGCTTGCTCAGAATTATGTTGGCAAGGTTGCAAAATTATTGCGTGTTCAATTCACGTCTCGGGTCACCAAACTTGTTGCAGGCCCGGTAGGGTGCAGTGCTGGTTTATTACTAAGTGGCCTTGTGCCAGACACCACACTAAACTACCGAGTCTACAAGCAAAAGTAAAAAAAAAAATAAAAAATGCGTGAATGAACAACGAAGAAATGTGGTTAATCCACACGTGCATAAATAAAATATATTAAGATAGCCGGCACAGAATGACAGAAAAAGACTGGATTCAAACAAGAGTAATTTTTTATTAAATGCAGGAAAACAAGTAACTTATCCCGTGGTAGGGATCAATGAAAATGTTCCGCGCCAAAAATAGAAAACAAGATGGCTAAGGCGGGAAAAGTTCTTGAAGAAGAAGAATATTCCAGATAAGTCAATCTACCAGAATAATATACATACAAAACAAAAAAAAATACTCACTGCGTTTTTTGTTAATGTGAGTGAAATGTTATGTATATTTTTTTTTGGTTTTTTTTTTTTTTTTTTTTGTACTGGTTCAAAACAGGTGTTCAGGAGTTCGGTCAGGTCTTGAATTAACTGTCGAGAATTTTAACGGAATGCTGTGGACGTCGAGCCAAAAGGACGAAGAGCTAGTTGCGGTCGTAGAAGTCGCATCGTCTATGAGAAGTTAATTATGGCGAGTCCAGAAGGGCGAAGAATTAATTATTTGGTGTTTGCATCGTCTCGAAGAAGGATTTTTGTGCGACGAGCCAAAAGGGACGAAGAATTAATATTTGGTGTTCGCATCGTAAGATATCCTTCGTCTGTCAACCTTAAATATTGACATGGATAAAATGAGTCTGCTTAGGTCCGAGTCTGGATCACAACTAATTTTTTTGAAACAACAGTTTGTCCGTGACGTCACAGAAATTTCGCGGGAAGATTTCAAAAATCTAATTTGCATAAGAAGGAATAGCAGGTCGCTTGACTGACGACAAAACCAGTTTACTACTGTATTAGACTGAAAAGAGGCAGAAAGGGGTGTCAAACGCGCGCGCGCACACGCGAGTGTGGAAGAAAGGAGGAAACTCGCGCGCGTAGTAAATGTTGTAGATGGAATAATACATTATACAAGTTATCAAAGTTCTGGTTTGATAGATTATAATTTGTTGAATGGTCTCTACAATAATGAGAAAGTGTGTTTTGGTATTATAGTAATTTAAGAAAAAAAATAAACAGTTCAAGTTTGTATTTGAAATAGAGGAATATTGTTTGTTAGTTGGTACAGACTTGTTCCATTTCGACGGCCATTAATACCTCATTATCGGTGATTACTACAGCAAATTCCACACCATTTGAAAAATGACAGGCCAGAGCACGAGTGACATGGTAATATCATCAATGAAACAGATATTCTCAGAGCATGGTATTCCTATTAGATTAGTCAGTGACAACGGACCTCAGTATTCATGTGAAGGATTCAAGGAATTTGTTCAACAATAGCAATTCGATCATATTACATCTTCGCCAAGATTTCCAAGATCGAACGGTTTCGTAGAGAGACAGATCCAAACTGTCAAAAGGACGCTACTCAAAGCTAAACAGGCGAGAAGAGATTACGACCTAGCAATGCTGTGTCTACGGGCAACACCCATTAGTCACAACCTTTCAAGCCCAGCCGAACTACTAAACCAACGTGTTCTGAAAACAAATGTAATCTCAAAGATCCCAACTCCAAGGTACCCCAGCACTGATCGCATGCGTGAAGAGTTAAAAAAAAAAACAACAGACAGGACAATCAGAAAACATGGACCTACCACCACTAGTCCCTGGACAAACTATTCGCACTCTAGACCATGAAACGGGGAAATGGAAACCAGCAAAAGTACTAAATAAATGTACTGAAAAAAACACACCAACACAAGCAACACATAGAGCAAAAATACAAGCAGAACAGGAAGTGAAATACACAGACCAACAAGGTACAAACAATGATGAGAAAACAATTAACTAACACCATCACAGCAACAACTCTACACATCTGGCGAGTGTTATCACGGAACTATATCACTACACATAACCAGTGTAACAACATGGCGTTGGGATACTATAAAACATTCCGATTTACATGCTCAACAGCATTGGGCCTAACATATAAACTCACTGTCTTGTTATTGTATATACCTTATTGGTAATAAAGGCATGTTAGCAATGTCTCACTTATAATTAGCACGATAATATAACGTCTCCAAATTGACACAGACCACATAATCAAAGTTCAAATACTGACAATACAGCTCATACAACGATTGCGATGACGATCTCAAGTCTCCATAAAAATGGTGAAAATAAACTTCTGTGTTAAATCTGTTAATTTAGACATAACATGACTTCATAATAATAAAAATAGTTAAATAGCTAGGGGGTGGGGCGGGCGACCGATTTCACTGAGACCGGTAAAATAAGTTTAAAAGGATGTTTGTCTATTTTTCCGGGACCGGCAAAAAGCCCAATTCGTTTCTAAAAAAAAAAAAAAATTTCATTCCAAATATTTTATTGTCAAATCTAATACAGAAAGGTTTAGAGGACAGTAATAAAAAATAAAATACCGTATAGAGCGGATGTATTGTTTTTACTCATAAATACTCACACACATACATTATATATATATATATGTATATATATATATAAATGAATATGTATATGTACATATATGTATATATATGCATATATATGTATATTTATGTATTAATATGTATATACGTGTATATATATGTGAATATATATATGTGTGGATATATATATATATATATATATATGTGTGTATATATATATGTATATATATGTATAAATATATGTATACGTATGTATATATATATGTATATATAAATGTATATATGTCTGTATATATATATATATATATA